GACTTACCTGCCTTTATAGGTCCATTGTGAAAAATTTGGATTCTGATTCAAGACATGGTCATTACCGCCACTATGTGGCTTATTTTGGAAGTTATTGAAAAGAAAACATTTAATTGGGGCTTTTGAACTTGAAGCTGCAAAACCTTGCTATTTTCCCTAGTCTCCATAGCTTATGGTCATGGATATACTTTTTACCAAGCATAGCACCTAATTAGATAGTTTATAATTTATTTTAATTTTAAAAATCTGCCTCCTAAGTAGTTACATGAGAAACCCACACATGCAAATGCACACAGAAAAATATATGTATATGTACATATGAAATCTGTATATGTATGTGTATATATATATGTGTGTATATATATATATATACACACATATATATATATAAACAGCAGGCTAATTATGTGTATATAAACACAAATATCACAATCTATATCTATTAATTTCATTTTTCTTATTTACATAAATGGATTTATATATATATGTTTTTGCACCTTTTTATTCTTTTCAATGGCTATTAGTATTCATTTGTGAACATTTCTGTGGTTTTCAAGTTTTTTCACTTTTTTGCTTATTTCCATTTCATTATTCAAAATTGTACTGGTAATATACTCTGGAAATTATCATTTTGAACTTTTGCAATGATGGAAATTTGCATGTTGGAAATTCTAAAAGTAATATTTTGGATCAAAGAGTATGTATATTTAAAATTTTGAAACATATTGTCAATTTGCTCTTCAAGTTAGTGCCAAGGCTACTTTTCCAGGACTTTTTCCTTTTCCAGATATTCTTGAAATTTAAATTTCTCTATTTTTTTTTTAAAGGCAGAATCTTGCTATGTTGCCCAGCCTGGAGTGCAGTAGCTAATCACTGAGCACACTACAGTCTTGAACTTCTGGGTTCAAATGACCCTCCCACCTCCACCACCCAAGTATCTGGGACTACAGCTGTGCACCACTGCACTTAGCTTAATTTTCTCTATTCTGATCACCACCTGTTTATATGAGTGCAGTTGCACTCTTTGCCATATGCATATTGCCTGTCTTTATTTTTCTGTGAAATTCTTGTTTATCTGTTGCCTTTCATTTTTTTTCCAGTTGATTTCTGCCTTTATATGTTAAGAATAGTCTTTAACATATGAAGAGCCTATGTTTCCCCAGGCTTTTACTCATATTTTGATTTGCTAATCATCATTTTTGTTACTTAAGATATTTAAATAAGTAGTACATCAAATTTTACATTTTTTTTTCTTTATGGTCTCTAGGTGTTTTGTCCTGGTAACAAATGCCTTTCTCCCGTTTTCCATATAGTTTTATAAAGGTTTTTAAATGCATTTCCATTAACCAAACAATTCACTCATATCTCCTTGTGTTAGTCTGTTTGTATTGTTATAAAGCAATACCTGAAGCTAGGTAAATTATAAAGAGGTTTGTTTGGCTCACAGTTCTGCAGGTTGTACAAGAAGCATGGTGCCAACATCTGTTTCTTTTTTTTTTTTTTTGAGTCGGAGTTTCGCTCTTGTTGCCCAGGCTGGAGTGCAATGGCGCGGTCTCGGCTCACCGCAACCTCCGCCTCCTGGGTTCAGGCAGTTCTCCTGCCTCAGCCTCCTGAGTAGCTGGGATTACAGACACGCGCCACCATGCCCAGCTAATTTTTTGTATTTTTAGTAGAGACGGGGTTTCACCGTGTTGACCAGGATGGTCTCGATCTCTTGACCTCGTGATCCACCCGCCTCGGCCTCCCAAAGTGCTGGGATTACAGGCGTGAGCCACCGCGCCCGGCCTGCCAACATCTGTTTCTGGTGAGAACTTCAGGAGGCTTCTGCTCATGGCAGAAGGGAAAGGGGAGCAGTTGTCACATGGTGAGAGAGAAAAGAGAGAAAGGGTGAAGGGTGCCATGCTCTTTTAAATAACTAGTTCTTCCATGAATTAATAGAATGAGAACTCACTCATCACTACAGGGAGGACATAAACCACTCATGAGGAATCAACCCCCATGACCCAAACACCTCCCACTAGGCCTCATCTCCAACACTGGGGATGACATTTCAACACGAGATTTGAAGGGGACAAATATCCAAACTATATCACTTCTCTTTATCAAAAGCTAAAGATATAAATTAAACTAAAATTACACTTTACTGTTACCCATTTTATGTTCCTTGCCACACAGATTCTTATAGTTTATGAAATAGTTTTGTATTCTTGTTTTTAATTTGTATGTAATTAAGTTAGGACAAGGCTAATGCTTTGTTATTTTTGTGACTAGTTGAGAAAGCCTTTCTTTTCTTTTCTTTTCTTTTCTTTTTTTAAGCTGGAGTCTTGCTCTGTTGCCCAGGTTGGAGTGCAGTGGCATGATCTCTGTTGACTGCAACTTCCACCTCTTGGGTTCAAACGATTCTCCTTCCTTGGCCCCCTGAGTAGCTGGGATCATAGGCACCTGCCACTATGCCCAGCTAATTTTTGCATTTTTAGTAGAGATGGGGTTTTACCGTGTTGGCCAGTCTGGTCTCCAACTCTTGACTTCAGGTGATTTGCCCACTTTAGCTTCCCAAAATGCTGGAATTGCAGGTGTTAGCCACTGCGCCTGACCTGAGAAAGCCTTTCATATTGAAGCTATGTTAGGTAGATAAAAATCTATGAATATTTATGACTTGGTAGATTGCTCATTCTATGAATATGAAATATCCATCTTTGTTCCTTTTTAAATGCATTTTATATGTAATTATATTTTATTCGAAATTATTATTGTTAAAAACTTTTGCCATTTTATTTTGCAGGGTATATCTTTATCCATTCTATCAACTTTTTTCTATGTTGTTTTTAAATTAGCTCTTTCAAAATATAGATGACTAGACATTTAAAATCAGTGTGTGACCGCATGTTCTCACTCATAGGCGGGTGTTGAACAATGAGAACACATGGACACAGGGAGGGGAGCACTACACACTGGGGTATGTTGGGGGGAATAGGGGAGGGACAGTGGGGGGTGGGGAGTTGGGGAGAGATAGCATGGGGAGAAATGTCAGATATAGGTGAAGGGGAGGAAGGCAGCACATCACACTGCCACGTGTGTATCTATGCAACAATCCTGCATGTTCTTCACATGTACCCCAAAACCTAAAATGCGATTAAAAAAATAATAATCAAATGAAATTAGTGTGTGAGTCTGTCTTTTAATAGTTAAATCTAACCATCCACAGTTATGATCATCACTGATAGTTTCACACTTATTCCCATTTATTTCCGATTTATCATGCTGTCTTGTTACAGCCCCCTTATTAATTTTTGTTGAATATTATTTTAATTTTTTCATGTTTTCTATATTTTATAATTTTTATATTCTAGTGCTGTCTAGTTTTTAATACTTAAATATACATATTTTGTTTATAACTGTCTAAAATTAATGAGTGTGTGCATATTACATTGTCTTTATCTCAACAATCCTAGCTAGGATTTTTTGTTTTATAAATGATCATGCTTCTCTCTTTTTGTGTTCTTCTTCTTATCAATATCTTCCAGCCATGTTGAAATTATTTGGACTTTACTTTCAAGTATTAATTTTAAAGCTGACATTTTAAGAAAGACATTACCATAAAACATCTCCCACTCGTTCCTCCTGGATTTGTTTTTCTTCTGGTTATAATTCTTTCTCTTTATTCAGGTCTTACTTCATAAGTCATATTTAGAATCTATGTAAATATAAGTCTCCAAGCAGCCACTACCAATTGTTTAGAAATGGGACTTAGGGTGGAATTTATCTTGAATTTCTTATAGTTCATAGATGATATTTCTAAAAGGCTAGAAAATATCTTAAAGTATCATCTTCATGATTGTACCTACCTTTTTTTTTACCTGAATCAAATGCATTAAGTATTGTTTGTGAATTTTTTCAGTAGCCGTATAAGAGAGTTTTTATTATCCCACCATATAGATGTGAGATTCAAAAAGGTTGATTAACTTGATTTTTTTCATCAATGCTTCCAATACTGGCTTCTTTGCTTTTGAAATGGAAAAAAAAAACAAAAAACAAAAAACAAACACACACACACACACACACACACACACACACACACACACACACACACAGTATACCGAGTGAGTTTTAAAGTTTTACAGTTACTCAGGATAACACTTAAAATCTGTAACTTGACACATTGGGTACTGAATATCCAGATTCCCAACTCTCTTTTATTTTGATTAGCATCCTTAAAATTCTATCTCTAAAGAAAGTCTTCGTCTGGAGTTTCTAAGGAGAAATCTTCTAACACTTGCTACCTGTTCCAGCGCCCAGTGTCCAGGGAGTGTTAAAGTTGACAACTTACTGGCTCTTGAGATGCCATGTGATATTTCTTTTGGGGTAAAGTTTTTCTGAAGTTGTCATTTATATAAGCTTTCTTTAGGCTTCTGTGCCTTATGAGTTATTATAGTCAAAGGTAAAACTGAGAGTTCTGAACTGTAAGGAGTTAATTGCTCACAAATTTCTCTTGTTAGAGATGGTAATTACCTGGTAACAAGCTGAAAGAGAAAAACAGTGAAGTGTGGTGGCCAGATATTCTGAACCAGTGTCTTTCATAATTCTCAGAATGTTGTGAAATTCATTAAGTATTTACTGAATCTTTATTATTAGTAACCCAGCTACTAATTCAGTTTTTTTGGTAAGATGTACATCAATTAAAACATACTTGTAAGTGCCTTTCAGCTGCCAGGCACAGTGTGCCATGGATGTACATTAAAATGAAATAGCACACTTGGGATTCTTACATGAAGAACCCTCTTCATTGGATCCCGTCCAGTCACAGAAGGTCGGGGCAGGGGAGGTGAATACTCGATGTGTTGGAAAGAGGACACAAATTATGTCTCATCTCCTGTTCTCCTGATCAGGTGACCAGAAAAAATTGGCATTCCAGTAACTTCTTAATGCTTAGCTATGGTGTTATAGGCCCTCCTCCCATCACTTATCCTTCATCTCAACTCTGTGCATGTGATTTCCCACAGTATTCAAAGGTGGAAAGGCATCCTGTGACTGCATTGGAGAAAATGATGGAGTCAAGTTTTGTCGGCCCCCAGACATTCCCTGAGGTTCCTTCTCCTGATAGAGGACGCCAATCTGTCAAACACCACAGGTACAAGTAGCTCATCATGGTGGGAGTGGGCACGTTCACACTGTGGGTATGCTGGATGGCACATGCCAAGGACTGGTAGCATGACTTAGGAGTGACAACTGTTTTCACTTCTGTAGTTCTCCATGGAGTAGATGCTCAAACAGCTCACATCAGGTAAGTCAAAGACGCCAGTTTCCACAGCAGACAGCATTGCCCCAGTAAGAAACCTGATGGAACTATTAATAACACCCATCAAAGCTACAGACACATGCCAGTTTTAAAAAAATGCATTCTGAAAAAACTATTATAAAAATATTTTACCAAGCCTGCCTTTTCTGGTCTGCAGTTAATGGGTAACTCGTTCCTATGCAGCCTAATGTGACAGACTTCAGATTTTCCAACACAGTTCTCACAAAATAAAATTTTCCATGGGGAAGAAGCCTGGTGAATCTTCTTCTTGAGTCTGTAAAATCTTCTGTTATCAATGGGGTGGCAGTTTCCTGCAAGCTCACCCCAGAAATTGACTCTTTCAGAAAAAAGCCAAAAGCATAGTTATTTGACACATTTTGTAGCATTCTAAAGCTCAACTTGTCCTTCAGCATCTTGTAGTCCACACTTTTCTGTTTTATACATGAGGATTCTGAAACTCCAAATATTAAAGGTATTTGCTCTAAACCAAATGATAAAGTTGATTACTAATGCTAGATTGTGTTCAGATCTACCTCGTCAATCTTTATGGAAGTCGTCCAGAGATTTAAGCTTCCTTTTCTTAGTGAGATGTACAGTATTTTACAATTTGAAAAATTATGAAAAATTTAAAAATTTTAAAATGAAAAAGTAAATAATAACAGGTGTTCCTAGCAATAAAAGATGAATGTTGCCCCTTTGCTTTCACATACTGGGCAATAATCTGTACAACACTGTGCCAGAAACATGCATGACAGAAGAAAACTACTCTCTCCCTTACCTTTCGATAAGTTACATGAAGAGGATTTTGTTGTTCCTGGCCACGTTTATGAGATTTTTAGTCACTCTTCACACTAATCTTCAGCTCTTAATGGTATTTTTTTTTCTTATTCTACATGAGTAGAGACTAAAACACTGGCAGTTTGCCAATTTAACAAAATGATATGAATGTATGATCAATTCAGGATTGAAATATGTTTGGTGCTTGGACAATTGCTTTAGTTATTCTTACTGCAAGTTTTGATTTATATCAATGTTGCATTTACAGAATATTTTCCTGTGAAAAGAGCATTTCATTTCACTGGACGTAATGGAATTTGTCGAAACTAGGGAAATAAGTCCAATATTACCAGCCTTTTAGAAGACAGATATTTTCTCCCAAATGATATTTTCTCCTGCTGATTATAACACATCTTAAAGTAGTATTCCACCTTGCCAAGTAATTAAGTAGACTATCATTCTAGTACTATATTAACTATGTTGTCATAAATGTTTTAATATATATATATTTAAACATCAGCTTTTAATATGTTTGAGCTGCAATATTCCTACCCCCAGTTCTCGTGTGCTTTTATGCTCCCTCCTAAACTTGGCTTCTACTGTGGTTTCTGGGAGTCACTCACAGATGAAATGAGGATATCTTTAAAAGACCTTCCTTTTTGCTTGGATCAATGATGCTGCAGTATCTGTTGGCATACATTGTGTCCTGATAGATGGGCAAGGGTTGACTTACAAAATGCTTTTAGAACTTTGTAAATTAGAGTTTAATATATCATAGCTTTTGTTTTGTAAAACATGCAATAGACTTAAACGTTTTCATGATTGATAACGCAGGCACTGATTTATATATCCTGCAAACTGCTGCATAACTTCCCGAATGCCATTAAGTTAGAAGGCCTGAATAACTGATTGATCAAGAGGCATAAAAACTGTTTTTAAGACAGGTCACTAGTTCATACTGATCGACTTTGTTGTTGTGACAGTTTAGCAAGCTATGAATAATTAATTTCTTTTGTGCACTGCAAATATGACTCATTTGGATAACTCATGTATGAAGCAAAGCTATTAATTCAAAGCCATTATTTCTAATGTTAGTTCAAAAAAATTCCCATCTGTTTAGAAAATAAATCTGTTATGGCATGTCATATTTATTGCAGTATATTTTGGCAATATAAGTCACTTATCTTTTTTTAAATTTTTATCTTTTTGAAGATAGAGTCTTGCTCTGTCACCCAGGCTGAAGTGCGGTAGCACGATCTTGGCTCACTGCAACCTCTGCCTCCTGAGTTCAAGCGATTCTCTTGCCTCAGCCTCCCGAGTACCTGGGACTATCGCTGCGACTCTGGCTAATTTTTGTATTTTTAGTAGAGACAGGGTTTCACCATGTTGGCCAGGCTGATCTTGAAGTCCTGACCTCGGGTTATCCTCCCGCCTCAGCCTCCCAAAGTGCTGGGATTACAGGTGTGACCCACCACGTCCTGCTATAAGTCACTTATAAAGGCATGTATATAGGTTTTTTACAGTGACGTAAGTCCAGGGTTTTCAGTGATAGAGAGGACCCTTTGAATTGCCAGCTGTGGCAGAGGAACTAGAGGAACTCATTGTGCCAAGTACATACTGTAGGCCGGGCTCCATGCCCCATGCTTTGCACGCTTCCTCTCTTTTAACCTCCACATCCCATAGCAAACCTAAGAAAATTCTTAAGTAAAATGCTGATATCTTCTTTTTGCCACTCCCTTCTCACTGGGGCAGCTAGTTTCTACCTTTTTTTTTCTGCGTTGCCCTGTGCACCAAGAGGGCTGCAAGCTCCCATGTCCTCTGGTTTCTGTGGGCTCAGCATGAGGCACAGTCATGAGATAGATAGCAGGGAGGAGAGTGAGGTCATGGCACTTCTGTCCCCTTCCTCCCTGCTTGGTTGCCTCCCTCGTGTCCTTTTTCTGAGGGCATGGAGCCTGTGAAGTGGCCCCCTGCTTACAACTCACTTTCTCTCTCCATTCTGGGAACTGCTCCCTCCCCTTGTCCCTTAAGAGATAATAACAGCTTCCTGTATTTAGTAGTCCTGAGGCACAAGTCTCCTTTATTGCCTTTTTTCCCCTCAAACACAGATCACACTTTTGTATATAGCAAAATCTCTAACAATGAAGCAAGTTAGAGTGCCATCTATCTCTCTCCAGGACTCTGACTGGTATAAGTACCTCCATCAGCATCATGCTTATAGTAACTAGCTACCTGCAGACCCGAGACTTACACCCAGTTGCAGCTAACTCTAGCATCCAAACCACAACGCCCCACAGATCCCATTATTGCCATTGGATGGTCGATAAAAGTAGGAAGGAAAAGAAGCAAATTAGCTGTTAGAGAGCTCCTCAAACTTGTGAGCTTAGTGATCTAACTATACATCCCTTGTTAGGCATTTAGAGACATACCATACCAGAAGTAACATGATAAAGAATGAAGGCATAGAGGCCGGACGCAGTGGCTCATGCCTATAATCCCAGCACTTTGGGAGGCCGAGGCAGGTGAATCACCTGAGGTGAGGAGTTCAAGACCAGCCTGGCTAATATGATGCAACCCCGTCTCTACTAAAAATACAACAAGTAGCGGGGTGTGGTGGCAGGCACCTGTAGACGTAGCCTCTTGGGAATCTGAGGGAGAATCGCTTGAACCCAGGAGGCAGAGGTTGCAGTGAGCCAAGATCATGCCATTGCACTCCAGCCTGGGTAGCAAAGGGAGACTCTGCCTTAAAAAAAAAAAAAAAAAAAAAGAATGGAAGTATAAGGAATGTTGCCAGATATAATCCTCGTTTCACAATTTTTGGAAGTTAATGTTGGCTTGAGGAATATAAAGTTTCATCAGTCACCTTGCCACAACCAAGAAAGTGGCCACTAACACTCAAATGTCAGATTTCAAACTCTGGCCTTAAATGATATTTGCAAAGTCTCGTCTTGTACTAAGTAGAATTAACAATAAAATTGGGGGAAGAAAAGTGACAACACTCCAAATAATATAGTGATATGGGTAAAATTTCTTTGAAAGACTGGTTTCTTTAGAACCTTGATAAATTTGTTGAAATGTTGAGAATGTTTCCATCTTTCTTTCTATGGTTGAACTGATATTTACAAAGCTAAATGAGAATGCAGCATGAAATTCTCAGTTCCTTTGTTATTTGAGCACGGCAAAACCAGTTTGACCACATAAACTAGCATCTCATGGAATGTCTACACATGAACAAAGTTCTCCTCACCAGTCTAGAGTAGGGTTAATTCAGTGGAGTGGAAATGGGAATGGATATGGAACAGGGAATGAGTCTCCTCAGCAATGGATTTTTATAGAGTCTAGTTCTTTTCTGTACATAATCTATGTAGGAATTCTCACTTTGTTAAGGACTGTGGTATAACCCACTTACACATTTTGCTCATTGATGCCATCTATAAACATATGATTATTTAGGCATTTGGATGTATGAGTCAAATAAAATATATAATCAGATGTTTATTAAAAGCAAACTCAAAAGAAAAATAATTTAGTTTGTCAAGATTGATTAAAATCTGAGGGAGTGAACTGGGAATTTAACACATATGTTAATGAGAAAATGCTAATTAAAATTGGTTAATTCTGTCACTAATAAGTGAATTTTTTTTCCCCATAAATCCCTTCTGGGCTTACTCTGTTTAGTTTTTGTCAGTGTCTCATAAGAAGGCTATTTTTATTTCTATTGGAGAGACAGCTAAAATGGCTTGGATAATCAGGATGGATGGGAATGAGGAGCTTGGGAATTCCTTAAGTTCTCCTCTTATCCCTGGCTGGAAAGTTGCAATGATTTCTATCAGTCATGCTCTAACCTAAGTAGCCAGAAATGCAGGAACTTCCCTTTGTCTCAGTGTCTCCAAAGGTAAAACGACTGGGCTATTCCTGAGCCCATGCTACCACATATACTACATTCATGGATAGCCCCAGGCCTAGAGTTTGAGGATTTGGCCTGCAGATTCCGTGTTTGCAAAGCTGGAGCAGTCACCTGTGAGGCTATTGCTATGATGTCTTTTGTTTGTTTGTCTGTTTTCATTCCACCCCAGCAGGAGTCTATCCTCTTGCTGCAGCCCAGGGCAAAGGAGTGGCATGCTCCATAGGAATGCCTTCAGAAGAACACCCCCGTCACCCCGAAGTAGGCTAGGCGGAATTGTGGGACCAGCATATCAACAACTGGAAGAATCAAGGATCCCAGACCAGGATACAATACCTTGCCAAGGGTAGGTCTCAAAACAGCAATAGAATTTAGGGAGGGTGTCTTTAATGCCCTAGCTTAAAATTTTAAATTCCTTGTGGTTTTATTCATTGATTTCTTCATTAACTGGCTAATATGCTTATTACCATCATTGTTCTACAAAAAGTGAACCAACTTCAAAGTATAGGTATGATGGAAATATGTATCAGGGAATCATTAGATTAGAAATATAACCCTAAGAAGAAAGTAGTATAGATATCATTTGCTAATACAACTGGAAATTTGTCTTTGATTTAAAAATAACAACAATACAGGTTTCTTAGGAGGATTAAAGTGTTCCTTCATCTGCAGGTTTAAAAAAATGACCTAATTCTCTGATAAGTATTGTAAGCAATATACTAAACAATAGCTCATGGCATATATACATTATCTGCTTCCCCTGAGCTTGAAGGTAGAATCCGGGTCAGTGTTGAGAGTGTAAAGTCAAAGTACAACTTACTGAACTCATATCTGCAAGTTACTCATGGTACAGGGGTAGAAGGATGGGCTTTGGATACCATCACTGCTGCTCCCTACAGTACAAAAGGTATCCCTTCCTCTGTTGTACACAGACCCTGATAGGCCTCAAAGGATGGTGAGCTGAGTACAGGATGAATGTCAGCCATTATTCACGTTGTTGGCATAAACTGCCCAACCAAACATGTAATCCTCGCTTAAACTGACCGGAGTTCAAATTCCATCTCTGCCCCTTACTACTAGTGTGACTTTGAGAATGTTTTATCATGTGATGTTAGATTTTCTTAACTACAAATGGAGCAAAATAGACCAGCCGCACTGGCTCACACCCATAATCCCAGCACTTTGGGAGGCTGAGGCATGACAATCCCTTGAGCTCAGTAGTTTGAGACCAGCCTGGGCAACATGGCAAAACCCCGTCTCTATCAAAAATACGCACACACACAAAAAATTAGCTGGGCATGGTAGCATGCATCTGTGGCCCCAGTTGCTTGAGGTGACTCCAGCTGCTTAAGGTGGGAGGATCCCTTGAGCCTCAGAGCTGGAGGCTGTAGTGAGTGGAGATGGTGCCACTGCACTCCAACCTGGGTGACAGGGTGAGACCCTTTCTCAAGAAAGAACAAAAATATACAAATAATTGAGCAAAATAATATCAATCCCCTGAGGATTGTTGGGCAGAGTTTTTTAAACTATTTGTTTGTACTACACACATAGTAAGAAGAAAAGTAGTACTGGTATTTATTGTCCCAGTAATTGTTACAATTTTTTCATTAATTTCAAGAGTGCTGCAATCAGGGTTTACCCTAGAAATTTCAGAAATCAGTTCCCTCACTAAAGCCAGGTTCTTGTGGCTCTGTTTTTATCTCTCTGAACGAGCCAGGCCAGGTTTCTATGCAGCTTTGACTGGATAATTTTTCCAGACTATCTCTATCAAGCGAAAGACCAAAACAGGGAGGAGTTCTAGCACAGAGCCTCACTTTTCTCTTTTCATATGGGCATGGGATATAAGGAGCCGTGTCCTTTCTAAGAAAGCTCAGCAACAGATTTCTTTAGGAAAATAGAAGATAGGAAATAAATGGCCGGTGGCTAGGTTTGATCATTTTGAAGCAATTCCAAACGGACTATAAAAAGGCATTTGGTACAGATTTAGGGTGACAGTTGCAAAGTAAACATAACAACCAAGAGGTTCAAAATGTATAATGCGAGTCAGAAGCAGTTTGCATTTCTCTTGGACTTATCTCTGGAAAAGCGGGCTTGCACTTAACCCATAATTATAATCGATCATGTTTCATAGTGCCTTTTCTTTATAAATGACTAATGATGTCTCTTACAAATGAATATGACTATATACATATACATAAAATCCCTGGGATGAATGTTAGGAGAACAAGTGAGGGAAGATCAAATTCAGAGATTTTGTGAGTGGATGAAAAACCGAGCTCATGCTGGAGTTTTTTTCTATTGGGCATTGTTACAAGTATAATTCCGTATGTTCGAGGAGTAAGGATGCTTGCAGCCTATGGCCGGCTCAAGCCTGAACCATGCATATATCATCAGGAGCTCAGAGATCTCATTGCATGTTCAGACAATGCTTTGCTTTTTTAACCTCCTGGAAGACTCCAGTTATTTTCTGCATGGGGGGGGTTTTCTTTTGGTTCTTTTTCTTTTTTTTTTTTTTTTTTTTTGAGACGGAGTCTAGCTCTGTTGCCAGGCTGGAGTGCAGTGGTGCAATCTCGACTCACTGCAACCTCCGCCTCCCGGGTTCAACCGATTCTTCCACCTCAGCCTCCCAGGTAGCTGGGACTACAGGCGCGTGCCACCACGCCCAGCTAATTTTTTTTGTATTTTTAGTGGATACGGGGTTTCACCATTTTGGCCAGGATGGTCTCGATCTCTTGACCTCGTGATCTGCCCGCCTCGGCCTCCCAAAGGGCTGGGATTACAGGAATAAGCCTTGGTTCAATCACTGTTGAGTTGGGAATATTCTCTCCAGCTGTCTGTCTGCAGGTATTTTCCCGTGTCTGATATGCACTCAATGTCAATATATGGTGACTCTAAGTATAAGTCACTATATGCCCAGCACAATCTCAGTGAGCAATCTCATTCTTAGTTCTAACAACAGCTATTTTCCACTCCAAGGGGCTGACTGTCTCTCTGGACTGGAAATGGGATTGATTGGTAATAGAATTTCACAGCTAAAGGACCTCTTTAAATCTGGCCCCAGCCTGGAGGTGGGGGGGAAATGAATTTGCAAGAGTCATCAGCCATCTTGTTTACCAAGCATGTGGGCGCTGTCAAGGACAGTTAGGCTCCCAACATATATGGCTTCTCTCTTTGGCAAGAACTTCAGCCCAGCTCGAACCTATCATCTATCTCAGTGCAGCCTAGAGAAGGAGTGAGGTGGAGCGGAGATTCTTGAGGAAGCTTTCTCATGACTGGAGCCCTGGTCAGTGACAACCATGGTAATGGCTCACAGAGTTTGAACTGTATCATGTCAGGAAAATCAAGCTGATATGTTTGTATGCTAGAAAGAAAGAGGTGGAATCACAAAAGTTAGATTCACACCTTAAACATAGATAAAATTCAAAATGCACTGAGTACCTACCATACCTAGCTAGCAACTTTACATAGTTCTCTTCAGTTATTCTTTAGAAATTTTATAGATAAGCACAGTAAGGATATCAGAGTTTAAATGGCTAGCCCAATGTGACATACGCAGTCCCATGTAAAAGAGCTGAAATACTGGCTTTTCTGACTACTTAAACCACCAAATCTACAAGGAATGTGAAGAAAATCGTATTTATGGCTGATGATTTGTAAATGGAGTATATAATTTCATGACTTCAGAGGGAAGCATGGATTCCTTCAAAATAGTCTGTCCATTCATTGCCATGTGCCCTAGGAACTGAGAAGGTTTGGAGTCTCCTAGAGAAACATAAATTGCTTAGCCTGACCCGTGAATGACTGGCAACCAAACCAAGTGACTAATAGTTGGAATCTTTCTTCTTTGAAAGAATGCTTCGATTCACATAGTTACAGACAAGATACATTTGTAATTTCTTTGTTGAGGGAATAGAGGAAGACTAGCCCAAAGTGAAATGATAATCTCATGGACCGAACTTGTGGAGGCATCATTGACCCTCAAAGGATACAGAACTTTGAATCCTCTGACTCAGAATCACATCTACAAATTTAGGTCTCACTTAAACTTCTGCTGGAATACCAGTGCTGGGACACTCACAGCATCACTAGGGGAGAAATGAGGCTTGCCCCCGTGTCTGTGATGGAACAGGGAGGAGACATTATTTCAATTAGTCCTCAGAAAAATTACCCCTCCCCCTGAGCAATCAAGTTATTGTTACTACCTGATTGTTTGAATGGATGGCAAAATTAAAGTGAGGCTGCCACTTCTCTGAGATTCCAGAGCATAGAATAATTTTGGGACTTGAAATCATGTCTGATTCAAAACAAAATCACAGTTTGGAAAGTTCCCATTGTTAAAAGCTCATCTTTATGTCATGATAACATTTTAAATTTTAGTTGTTGCCAGTCATGTGTTCAGTGCCTGACTTGGGAAGTGACACATAATAGTCTACTGCAATTCCTCTTTCTCATCTAAATCCTTTAGTCAGTCCTCTGGCATAGGAGAAGAATGCTCCACGTTTGGCATGAATTGCCTTTGATTATGTCTTAGCCATGCCACATAGTTGATTTGTTGAATTTACAATTTAAAAACATCCTCTAAGATATCTGCACTTTATCCAACGGTTTAGATCCAAGTGTAAAAATTTTTACCTATCACCATCTCATATCAACTTAGCAGGTTCTACCAGCTGATATACCCTGATATCTGTGCGAAATGCTATCTTGGCTGCATTTCTTGTCTCTGTTTCGCTGGTGAATCTGACAGACAGACTTTCTATACCTACAAATCATGCTAACAGGATGGTGCTGAGAGCAAAACAAAAGCCTGAAATTTGTTTCTTTACTTCTTGTTGAAAGTGATTTATTGATTTGAACCTTTAGGCTCATGTTTGTAGACATATAAAATTAATGAGAATGGAGTAATATATTCCCCAAGAATTTCCAAATATGTGGCTTTGCAGTTTGTATTAATAAAGATTATGTATCTTCAAAAAGGTATTCTGGTTCACCTTAGGATATTCTTTCATTAGCAACCTCTATCTTTGACAGTAATAATTAGAGTAAGACAACTTGGGTTTAAATTCTCTGTGTAACACTTATTAAAGATATAATTTTGGAGAAGTCATTTGAGTACCTGTTAGTCTATTTTACTCATCCGTTAGATTATAATAATAATAAACTCCAAGGTTTTTTAAAAATAAAATGAGGTAATTGGAGGTGAAAGTGATTTTTTACAAGCGCTGTGCATATGTTACCTGTTGTTATTAAGATTGAAAATAGACATTAAGTAGGATATAAAGGGAGAGTTTACCTTGAAGATTTGTTTATATGTATTCATGTGTTCATTTAATCAAAGTATATTGATTGCCAACTCTGTATTAGGCACAGTAAGAGAGGATGGGACCACAAAGGCCTAAAGCTCATTCCTGTTTTTGTTCACTACCTCGTGGAAAGACCTCTAATTTGCTCCCATCATGTCCTTACAATAAAGACTTGGATTTAGTATGCAACACACTGCACTGCAATTATTGTCTGCATGTATAAACATGATTTTCATTTACATAATAATGGCAGTCAAGGAAATGAGATTTATTATATGGCAGGTTGATGTGTTTAAATTGTGTCAAAATTTGAATGTTTAATTGTCTAAATTAGGGACAAATAACTAAGAAATAGAATAAAACACTACTGTTCAAGTTCCAAAACCCCGTTTTTATAAATCTGCTATGTACCTGTCCCATTTTCTCTCACTGAACAGTACAGAGGCGAAAGATTTACTAGCCCTGAACAGGGAAGAAGGGAACTTAGAAGATTCTGCTATATTCAAATGACTTGCAATGGCATATTGGCATTCTTGACAAGCCCTTGCCATGCACCAAAGAGCTACCTTACTTGGTTTCAGAAACTATGTAAGAAAAGGTGCTAGATGGGTAGAAGCCCTATGGAACCCACTTAATATTCATCCCCAGGTAGGTAGAGGAATTGAGAGCTTCCCATTTCCATCTGCTGGCTCAGCAATCTGGCAGTGAGATGGTTCCTTTAGAGCACAGTGCCGTAGCAATTGGATTTGGATCCCCTAAAATCAGTGCGAAGTAGGAAAACTCATGACTGTAGTACCTGATGCTTATTATTGGAATTCTTGATTGGCTCCAACTAGGGTGGCCAAAACAAGTCTACTGGACTAACCCAGGGCTGAGAGGGTGGTTGAGTTGATGTAGTGGACTAATGCCATTATGGGTGTCCTGTTTTTCACTATGGAAAGGCCACACTTACCTGCTCAATCCCCATTTACTTTGTATTCTAGGATAGAGGTCAGGAAGACTATATCCCACCTGCCTATACAGCTGTGGTGTGTTGAAAGACCCCTGGACTTAAAGTAAGAAGATCTGGGTTTGAGTCTCAGTCTGTCACTTATTTTCTGTGTGACCTTGGGCAAGTCACTTCACCTATCTGAGCTTCAGTTTACTTCTCTGTTTAACTGGGAACCTATTATCCGTCTCATGGGGTTGCTGTGAGAATTCAGTGAGATGGTGCATGTGAAAAGTGCTTTGTGGATTGAGTTTTGCTCTAACAAAGCACAGCAGAAAGCAGAAGGAGTAACACTTTGTTTCTTTTTCAGGTATTCATCCAGTGGTTTAAAAACCCAACGAAATACATCAATAAATATGCAACTGCCTTCAAGAGAGACAAACCCCTATTTTAATAGCTTGGAGCAAAAGGACCTGGTGGGCTATTCATCCACAAGGGCCAGTTCTGTGCCCATCATCCCTTCAGTGGGTCTAGAGGAAACCTGCATGCAAATGCCAGGGATTTCCGAAGTCAAAAGCATCAAATGGTGCAAAAACTCCTATTCAGCTGACGTTGTCAATGTGAGTATTCCAGTCAGCGATTGTCTTATAGCAGAACAACAAGAAGTGAAAATATTGCTAGAAACTGTCCAGGAGCAGATCCGAATTCTGACTGATGCCAGACGGTCAGAAGACTACGAACTGGCCAGCGTAGAAACCGAGGACAGTGCAAGCGAAAACACAGCCTTTCTCCCCCTGAGTCCCACGGCCAAATCAGAACGAGAGGCACAATTTGTCTTAAGAAATGAAATACAAAGAGACTCTGCATTGACCAAGTGACTTGAGATGTAGGAATCTGTGCATTCTATGCTTTGCTCAACAGGAAAGAGAGGAAATCGATTACAAATTATTTATATGCATTAATTTAAGAGCATCTACTTAGAAGAAACCAAATAGTCTATCGCCCTCATATCATAGTGTTTTTTAACAAAATATTTTTTTAAGGGAAAGAAATGTTTCAGGAGGGATAAAGCTTACAATTAAAGCTTTTGGGTAGAATTCTGAATCCAATTTCAGTTAGTCCCAACACTGTCCTCTTTGGCTCTTAGGAGATGTGGGCAATTCAGACCCTTGGCCCCACAGCGCCAGTGCCTCATTCAAAAGCACTGGCAGTTACCTGGTTTCAAAAAGAGGAGAGCCGTATCCGCAGGTGGATGCGCCAGTGAGCAGGTGGCCCTTGCCATTTGGCTTGCCAGTCCCAAGCCCTAAATTTCTGTTCACCCAATAGCCTCATCACAGGTTATGTCATGTCGACAAATGCAGTGTTTTCTATTTGATTTTTGGAGAATGGCACAAAAGACTGCAATGCGAAGGAGGACAGGAGAGAGAAGGAGAAACTGGGGGCAATCGTAACTCCTCTTGTGTGACACCTTCCTCTGAGATTTGAATGCACACATCTCAGCTGGAGGTCTGAAATTATCACAGAAAAAGAGACAAAAAAAATCACTATGTCGTGTCACTAAAATCACGCTAATAGAAATGTTTTTCCTTGAGATTGTTTAGAGGCTCTGGAGGAGCGTTTCTCAGTTTTTGTGTGACTGTGTGCACATGTGCGTGCGAGCGTGTGTGTGTGTGGACTTGCTCACGCGAGCACATATGCTGTATGCACATGTGTTCATTGTGCGTATGTGTGTGCATGTGTGCGCGTATTACGCTTGCTAAAATTTGTTCTGAAACATCAGGGAATCTAATATTCAGAGAAAGTATTTCCCTCTTAGATCTGTTCACTTTAAATTTTTCCATTAATTATAAAGTTCAGTCAGTTCTTAAATCAAGGTCACTTGCATGGTGGAGTCCTATAAAACTCTTGACACTGTCTAGACCATTTTCTGATGTGAATACTTTTGAGAGGAGCAACTATTGGCTCATTAATGATATCAGTATCATCAGGTGAGTTAACCGAGGATGCGTGTTTATTTTGAATCATGCCTACTTAAATTATTAACGCAAGACAATTAACAAATTGACAGTTCCTATTTGCTTTCTCATCATCCTCATTACTATTTATTTTATAGCAAGTCTACTACGTGTGGACTGAGGCTTCGGCTTCTGTGGTTAATATGGGAAGAATAACTTGTTGAAATCAAAAAACCCAGACTATTCAGTTCACAAGAAGCCCCCAAAAGAACAGTAAATTGTGTTGTATGTTCATTTGGAATAAAGCAATATTTTTACCACTGCTAAGGTGAACTGAAACCTCTCCTGAAGATTTGTCTGTTTATTTACCCTCATTTTCATGGGACATATGAGGAAATTAGTGTTCATATACCCAGTCTTTTTCCAATTATTGGTGGTGTTGAGTTGTTATGTTTACACCATTTTAAATAAAAAGGCACAGTATTTGAAAGCATAAAAGATTTCTTTTACTGCAGTTTGGGAAAACCTTGGTTAAAATCTCTTTGTGGAAGACACATTCCATGGAAAAGGAATGTAACTATTTCTGAGTCAAGCCGTAAAGAGATCCAATTCATATTTCAGGTTAAGTTGTTTCTGCTGAAAATACATTGCAAATTGGTCTTTGGGAACATCTGTTATTAGTAGACATACTGTCATCCAGACAAAAGAAAGAGCACTATGTATTTATCAGAACTACTTAATAGAAATTCAAGGTCTCAAATGTTGAAACACTTTGGTAAAAATGCACTTTACATTTAACAAAAGGTTGTGTGATATTTATTATTTTTTCTATATTCCATTGTTTTGAATATAGAGGTAATACTGGTAGAATTTTAAAAGATTATCATAAATTTGTAATGTCTAGATCATCTAAGTTATTATTTAAATATACTGTATGTATGGAAACATTTTAGAAAATGGTCTTAAAAACTAACAGGTCTATAAAAACCCAATAAGTTGAACATCCAATATGTCATTGTGTTGAAATTTATCACAATTATCAAACAGCTGGAAGGCCTCACAACTTTGTTGAAGTCAACCTTGTTCTTATATATTTTTTTAACTAAAATGCTGTACTTGCTTATCTGGAAGATTGGTTCTGAATTTACCATTAAGAAGGTATATGCTGTATAACTCATTGCAGTTATACTAACATATTGTTTACACTGAAAACATTGTCAGTGAAACTTAAGTCTTGGTCCAACCCCTTATTTTTTTTAAATAATTATTTTAATATTTTTTGAAAAACTGATATGTGATTATAATTTCACCCATATGTATTCTAAAAAAGCAGTAAATCCACTGGTTGTTTGATATAAAGTTTAGATATACAATTACTCCCTTAATCAATAGTCAAGACAAAATCCTCCATAAATAATCTATATTAATGGTTACTTTTTAGTGGTCATTTGTCTCCTTTAGCAATATGATGCTTTCCTGTGAAGAGTATCCAAGGTCAAAATATACGTCATTGGGCACCAGCGGGCAAGTGCTGATGGCATCAGTACTTTCAAAGTGAACCTAACATAGAAAATACTTGGAGCCATCAGTACTTGGCCCTTCAAGGTCATGTGCCTACAGGGAAGTACTTATTTCAACAAAACACATTTGATTTTGCTTCATTGTCCTTGCCTTTATTATGTGAATATATATTTGGAAATTTGTAATTAAATATGCTACATATTCATTATTTACCGGAGGATGGATGGTACCCATTATTTTTTTACTTTGACTCATTTTCTGATATATCTTCTTGTTTTGTAAAGCATATGTTATTCTAGTTTGCCTGTGACTACTGTGGGATGCCATTCAAAATATGTGAGCAATCTTATAATATTGAGAAACAGTAGAAATGATTTTGGAAAATCAGCATCAAAATTTTCTTCCTAAATTTCCTATGTACATTAAGTGTTCTGCGTTTTACACTCTAGCTCAATATCTGCCTTGCTATGGGTTAAAAACTAAATCTTTGTAAATTTATCACACCTCCAATGATTTACATTATTTCTAAGTAGGAATAGCAAGGCTGTCTGGAGGAGGAAGAGTGTTGTATATAGGACTTCACAAATTAACCTGTTTTGATCATAGTAACAAATCAGACCCACCAAAAAAGAGAACAGAAGAGCCAAGCAGACTTCAAGAGAATGCCCATTGGCTTCTGGATTGAATGACAGCTGTAGTTTGAGTGGGGCCTCGGGTGCCTATGGCTAAGGCTATCAGTAACCAGATCTCTACCAGAATATGTCTGATGTATGCCACAGTCATGCACACCTATCCTGCAGTATGGTGCTATAGGGAACACTGACTCCCTAAGTCTGTGTGTTGGGGCAGAGGGAATAGTGGTCCCTTTAATTCCAGCCCCATAAACTAGAAAATACTGCACTGAAACAAGTGCTGTGAGACATTTCTCAAATAAGCGTATAGTCAACCTAGGAACGCAGTAGGAGGGGTGGGATTTTTATTTGATCTTTTGGTATCTGGGAGACATTTTATATATAAAGAGTACTTTTTTATTATTATTCGAATGTATAGATTCAGTGTTTTCAATGGATAGCATGTCTATACTGTGTTTGTACTCTTGTCTTCAGAAATTCAGTCCTCATCTAGGCAAAACCAGCACAAGGTTTCAAGGCTGTTCTCAGTTTTAAATGCATCCCAATATGCCGTGGGAAATGAAGCTTCTAAATGAGTTTTATCTCTTCCTAGTTGATAATTTTTTTCCCTTTTAAAAAAATAGTGAGGGTAAAAGAAGAAATTCACTCCTTAAGAGCCACACCATTCTCTTATAATCTGTTTCCTACTGTAACAACAAATACACGCACACACCCACAAATAAATGTACATTAAATTTGTGAATTGAATGCCTTAGTAGTTTCACTTTTGTTTAATTTAACAAACATCAAAGTGATTGCCTCATGGAATGCCAATGAAATCAAAGCATTTAGAGACAAACCAACTTGGCAACATTTTGATCATCCGGGCATTTTTCAGTTCCTTCTCTTTCTTAGGCAAGCAGAAATAACCTTGGGTTAGAAAATTCACAAGATCCTAGAGTAACGTCTCTGCTAGATTGTCTCTTAGAAATGAAAATCAAAAATGAGCGTAAATGATTGTTGTCCTTTTAGTGTATAATGTTCTCAAATATATTTTTTATAAATTTAAGCATAACTTCTCCCAGAGGTGCCTAAACAGGTGCCTTTGCTTCTGGTACCCACTAAACTCCAATAAGGACAGAGTGTGTGTGATGGGGGTACAGGGGACGCTGAATGCTAATGTTGCATACTCCAGTGAAGATAATAGCAGGGGTAACCAGATGTAATCTTGATAAAATAGAGATCAGGTTTCTAGTACTTTCATATTTTTTTGTCATGAATACCTGTATTGATTGCACGTGTACTGTTGACTATGAAAGAATTAATTGTGTGATAGCAAACAATCTCTTATTGTTGGAAATGAATTAGAAAATATTTTCCATTGGAAGTTGTCTTTGTGAAAACTTATACCTTAACTATACATAAGACTAGCTCCATGACCTCATCTGTCAAATAAGGTGGATGACCATTTATCTTTGCTTTCCCTTCCAAATTGATGCCTTTTTATCCAGTCCCTCTAACCCAGACTTTATCTGGTCACCTGTCATTCTTTAACTTGAACCCAACTCTTTAAAAAACTCTGTAAGTCTATCTCACTAAGACTCAAAAATAGAATCTGTATATCTATCAATAGATGATATTTCCATTTATAATATCACATTTAATTTCCATGGAGGAAAAAAAACAGGATTGTTTCTGTGGTGGTTGTTAATGTAAATTTACCTCAGCCAGGTAATAAAAAAAGGGATAGACAAGGAAATACCCAATTCTAAAGCTTGAAAATCAAATGTGAAAATTTGCCCCAGAATTTTTTTAAGAAATTGTGATGAATTATCAAAGACAGAACAAGGGGCTCTCCAGAGAAGGCATGAGACCTTGAAGATGTCCGTCTCTTACAGGGCAGTGGACACACCCTCATTTGATATTCATAAATACAAGATATTTATTGATATTCTCAATTATTTGCATATCAAACAATATAAACTCTCCTACCAGTAGTGAATAAATTATCTGGAAATACTTTCACATGATGGTTTAAAATAATCTAATCTTTGGGAGCAGGATAGGCAAAGACAATGCAGAGTTTACTTGCATATTTAATTTTGATTGTAATTGCTGTTTTTGAAAAATTAATATTTATATGCCCTATCAATAGCATCCTGACTAGCACTAATTATTCCATATATAATTTGTCTTGGTCAAGATTCCAAAGTCTGAATTCTTTAGTCATCAATAAAACAATATGAAATTTTAAAATACTTGACTCAAAGACAGTAAATTTAATTTTTTTTAAGAAGTCAACATAGTAGCTTACCAAATTGATTTAGAACAAAATGCAGTTTTTACTTGTTTTTGATGTATTTACAGGTCTGATGTACAACCTTGTTAGACCTTCATACAACCTTGTTAGGCACCACACTGATGCTTCCTTTTTGAAATAAATTTAAATTTAAGGGCACTACAAATCACACACACACAGCACATAGCACACATGGTGTGTTGAAACGCAATGACATAGATGACCTTGGATTCAGATATTTTTCATAGAAAGTCTATGCATGCAACAATAAACTAGAGTGGTTACTGTTTAAGGTTTATTCTTCACAGCCTACTTTCGATTCTTGTGTTTATCAAAGGTTTGGAGAATAGATAGTGCATTTATTGAAATTGATACAAATAGAACATGACAACTTACCTTAAACATTACTACACACTTGCCAGTAGCCACTGTGTATATTTTTAAAGATAGCTAGAGAGAAATGCTGTGGCTATCTCTTACTTTTTTAAGCATGCAATTGTACACATTAGATCAAAATGAGTTCCCTAGTTCTGAATCATTAACACACTTTATTAATCCATTTGTCCATGTTTTAAATAAAGAATGTAAATCACGCACAGAATACATGATAAATGGTAACCATAATATTCACAATTGTCATTTTAAAACAATTTCTCAGAAACAATATCTCATACATCTGATAACAAATTTGTTTAAGAGTGTATACGTAGCTCTATTTTCTTCCGAGACCCATTTCAAACTGGCATCTACTGCACTGAGAGGATATGAAGGCTAGGGAAAATATACTGGACATATAGCCCTCAACAACGTTTGTAGAGTTTACTTCTACTATGGCTGCATTTTTGTTTGTGGGGAGATATATCATATCGCTTATTAAAAATTAAGATGTGAATGTAGTCATTGATTTGCATCTTGACTTTGTCAAGTAAGCTTTTATGTGTGGAGGGAACCCTTGGCCACCATTTCCCAATTTTATCTCCTCAGCAGCCTTTGCCAAAGCTGGACGCTCAGCTTAGGTTATATTCTTAATGCATTCACCTCTTATTTCTTCTTTACTAAATAAGGAATTTTCAGCTCAAATAAGAAGCTAATGTGATTTTGTAGAGAGAGATAGCTTTGTTCATTTGAGTTGTGTTAGTAGAGGGATAAATTAGGAACATTTCAAATGTAGAAGATAATAAGGTTCATGACTTTAGCCACTATCTTCTCATATTCAGACATAACTGTAGGGTCCATTAATTTTCCTTATATTGTTAACAGACTATTTAACCTTCTTAGAATTGCTTCTTACAACAATATTTTCCATTTTATAAGAGAAAGACAAAATCATCCATTTGTATAAAAGAACAAAACAAGAAATAAAAACACATTATTATTCTTTAAACAATGAATAAAAAATAAACCAATAACAATTGTGTGTAAGTGCTTCAAGTTAAACTTATTAAAAATTAAATATGGTCTAAGGCTAAAAACGTTGTAAGGAAAAATGAGGCAAAGGTTTTGCACAATAAAGCCTGTTTTTTAAAAATATCTTTTCTCTGTAACTACACTCTTCTTTCTATACTGATATTTTATTTTTTAAAGGATTGTTTTCTGGGCATTAAGTATGCCTATTGAGTTCTAACATTTAAATATACTAAATATCCACTTTTTCATTCCTTCAAGTTTGACACAAAATTTATGAAAATCTGAGTTTAAGTTGGAAAAAAAATACATCTTTTTTAATATTTATATTTCTTTTCTGTAAAAAGAAATCGTTAACTTTTATTCTGTCTTTATTTCTGACAACTTTCACTGAAGGCTCCTATCTTTTAAGCGTTTAATAGGAGGAGGCCCAAATCAGATATAAGGGCAGATGTAGATACATTTTGAAAATTAAAATGTGTAATGCAGACACAAGGAGTTGCAATTTTTCTTGGGTCCAAATGACCTAAATAGCTGAAAACAATGCAACAAAGTTTGAGCAATGGGGCACCCTTTTGGAAAAAAGAAAAAGCTTATCCAGCAGATTTCAGCTTGAAAAAATAAAAAGAAAGGAATAAATACTACTGTGAACCCTTTCTCCAGGGGAAAAAGAAGAGACAGGAACCTGATGCTATCAACATTTCCAAAATCGATAAAGTCAATCAATGATTTTGTTTTCATCTTTTTAAAATGTTATTTAAAAATTGTCACTGAAAGTGTGAAAGAAGTCAGCCATTAATTCACCATGCTAAAATGATAGTAACTTGTATCTTTGTGCTTTTTTCATTTTCTAAAAATGTGCATATTTTTACAAAATTACTTTCTTACTGTGTTGTATTATAAATTATACACACACACACAGACACACACACACAAACACACACACACACACACACACACACATATATATATATGATACTCTCCTAAGGCAATACATTGTCTTTATAAATAATTTAATTTAAAGATTACATAAATGCCAGTTTATTTTTACATTATGACTTATGTAGACATTCTATAATTATTCGACACAAATTCATTCAATTTATTTACTACCATAAATAAACCCACAATTAATATTACAGCGCACATTACTTTTTTGGGAGGAGGGGAAGAAACTGCAGATCTATAAACAAGTTTCATAAGCTCTGTAAAGACCTGAAATTGTAATTCTTGTGTATAGGTTAGTGTATGCATTTTCTTCTTTTTTGTGAAGGGGAAAGATCTATAACTAAAAATTTCATAAAGTTTAGAAAAAGTAGGTGAAACTCAATGGTTAAGAGTTTTTCTTTAAGTAATTTCCTGGTCATACTTTGCAAGAAGCAGTACAGCTGAGTCAAAAAGTATTTTCAAAATTCATTTTAGATATTAATTGTTTTCTGAAAGTGACTCATATATACAGTTTTAACATTCATTGAGCCTTTTATTTTGTATCTGCTTAACAATATGACATATTGTGGTTAAAATGTAATTGATTTGGAATAGTCAGAAATGCATCATTTTAATAAAGATTGATTTTATTTTTTAATTAAAAATATTAAATTTTCTGCTTTATGCATTTAATGAATGCATATAATGGCTTGTATGCATATAATGTATGCATATAATGGCTTGTACATTTGCGTTATATATATACATTAAATGCATAAAGCACATTCATATTTATAATTCACATTATAATGGCTTGTACAGCCATTATATGCATACGTTATATGCATAAAACACATTCATATTTGAAAGTGTTCTTTAAACATTGATCCCATAATAAATTATTAAACTGATTTTAAATGTTTACTATCTTTGACTTATGTCAGTATTTAATAATATATGTACATACATATGCATTAATCTTTTCTGGGCATAAACATATTTTCATGTATAGATCGACAAAGATATTCAGTTCTCCCACAGTATTAATTTTGTTTTTAAGCATCTTCGTTGATGGATTTTGATCATCAATATTATAATATTTTGCTAAGGTAGACAGACAGCTGTACTTTTTAAAAATCCCTAGAGAAACCACTTCATAACTGACTAAATTTATACTACCCAATTCATACTCTAAGTAGAAGAAAGAGGAGAAAGAGGAGGGGAGAAGAAGAGAGGAAGAAGATTTTTTAAATGCCATCAACTTTGGAATATGGAAGAAGTGACATTATTACACAGGAAAGCCATTTGAAAGAACTGAGAATATGCATGGCACTAGACGTATTACATACATCAACTTAGTCATCAAAATAACTCTATGAAATGCATTCACATTATTCCCATTAAACATAAGAAAACTAAAGTACAGAGGCATTAAGAAATATGCCTAAGCTTACACAGATAAAAAAATGTAAGAGAGTGCATTTCAACCCAGAATCCCTGAGCCTTCCTTTATATATTCTCATCTTATTTTTCTTTTTTCTTGTAAATTTCTGATAGTGATTGTTCAAACATTCAAGACAGGTTAGAATCTTCAGAACTAAGTGAGGATGATTCTGACTCTAGTTCAACAATCCCATAGATTGACTAGAATGAGGGCAGACCACAGAAATAATAGATGCATCCAATTATGTAAGTTATTGGAAATTCGGACATACAAAATAGAGCAATGAGAAATTTAGCAACATTGCTATTTCTTGTCCCAAATGTGACAGGTAGCAGTACCAGAAAGAAAGCCAGAAGGACCATATCCATGGTAGTGACTATACCCATTGCTTCCCTCCTGGGAAGAATGAACATAAAATGATAGTCCTCAGGGCACCTGCTTCAGCTCCCTAAGAACCAATACCCCAGTACCGTGGGTGGCTATACTTTCCTGCTCATTCACTTCAAGGTGCCAAGTTACTGAAATACTATTATAAATTTACACTAGTCATCCCTCAAGCCTACGATCAGAAAAGAAAAACAAATTTGTGTCCAATGTGGTCAGTAGAAGAAATGAAGAAGATTCATTTGACCTCTTCCCCAACCACCATTTTTTGACACAAGCCCTGGAGAAACCTCTGCACAGACAAGGCAGAGAGATCATAAAATATCTCAGTGGGAACATGTGAAGCCATTTGTAGGCATTAGCAAGGGCAAACTTAACACTTTTAATATAAAGAAGTCATGACTCCTTTTAAAATGAGATTTGTTCTAGTGTTGCACCTTAGAAATTATCCCGTCTCCCACTAAAATATAAGAAAGTATGTACTCAGAAATGAGACAAAAGGCTAAGGTCAATGGCAGACAATAAAAAAGAAAACATGTAAGGAATAATTTTTTTAAAAGAAGAAACAAAGCAGAAATGAAACTTGACAGAATTAGTAAAAAGAAAAATTGTCAATGCAATACTATGCCCCAATAGAATGGAAGTTAAGAAACAGGAAGTTGTCTAATTTTCTACTCTTCTTCCCTATTGTTATACAACATTTGTCTCAAAATTTAAAAATAATAAAAAATTCAAAATGTTGAAACAACAAAAATAATTCAACTCTACTTAATAACAAATGTCAAAGGGAAAACAAAAGTTTCAGTTAAAGGAAATTTGGAAAATAAAAAGGAAGACAAAAAATGTTTAAAACCAGTCAAAGTTATACTCAGCGGCATTCTCAGAGTCTTAAACAATTGGGCAGAAACTCGGATATGGGAATACAGACCTGAATTATTTGGGGCGCTAAGGCAGTGTGGTTCTGAAAGAATGGAGTAAGGAAAGCAAGAATGAAGAAACCTCAGAATTCAACATTTAGGCAGACTGTGGTACTTCTAGAAGATACCATCAATAGTGCTATCAAAAAGGACAACTCTCCCCTCAGCAGCGGAATACCCCTAGCCTCGCCTACCTTGAATGTGCTCAGAACACTTACATTAGCCTACGGTTGGGCAAAATCGCGCAACACAAATACTATTTTATAATAAAGTGTTGAATGTCTCATGTAATTTATTATCTACTGTATGGAAAGTGAAAAACAAAATGGCCATATGGGTACTAAAAGTATGATTTCTGCTAAGTACATACTGCTTTTATAAAGCCATGAAACCCTAAATTGAACCACTGTATATTGGAGAGTGTATATCACTATGTTACGTATGTATTATATGATTAATAATGTTATATATATATATTATATATAATACATAATTATAACAATATAATATAGAACAAATATATATACACACTTATACACATACATATAGGAATTCACAAATTATACTCTTTCTCTCCAAATGTTGACTTAGACCCAAAGTTGAGAAAAATACAGTGTATCTTTGTGCCTCCACTTCCTAGAAGGAGCTTTAAGTCACCTCAGAGAGACAAGCTGAATGTTGTTAAAACTGTTTCTGCCAGCATTAGCACTCACACACTATAAAAGTGTCAGCTTTGAAAGAGGAGATAGTTCCTTTTGAGAGAATTGTCGAAACTCTATGTTGTTCTTTTTTTTTTTTTTTTTTTTTTTGAGACGGAGTCTCGCATCACCTAGGTTGGAGTGTGTAGTGGTGTGATCTCAGCTTACTGCAACTTTGGCCTCCTGGGTTCCAGCAATTCTCCTGTCTCAGCCTCCTGAGTAGCTGAAACTACAGTCGTGTGCCACCATGCCCGGCTAATTTTTGTATGTTTAGTAGAGACAGGGTTTCACCATGTAGGCCTGGCTGGTCTCGATCTCTCGACCTCCAGTGATCTGCCCACTTCAGCTTCCCAAATTGCTGGGATTACAGGCATGAGCCACCATGCCCAGCCCAGTGTTGTCCTGTTTTGCAGATGGACAAAAATGCTTTTTTCTACCATCACACCAAGTGCTATGGCATTCAGAGGAGCTTCAGTAGGTCCTGTGATAGCTGTTCTCTTGAAGAGGTCCTGAGGAAAATGAAAGACCAAACGTTATGGCTGAACTTGCCTGAAACTGAAACTTGATAGATTAAAGAGACCGAGACATAAGGAGTGGCGACCTCTGTATTTGTCTTGGGTAAGGACGTATAACCCCCTACCTCCATGAGTACCCCGGGGCAAGAAAGACTACCTGGAGGAGCAACACGACTACCAGGATGCTGAAGGAGCTACCTGCTGCAGGGTGTCAGCTATGTTAGATGAGAGGCACTCACAGCTTTCTCCAAATAGAGGTTCCTCAGCACTCCAGGAAAGCGCTCCACAAGAAAAAGTTCAAGTATTTGCTCAAATGCCATATTAAAAGGATAGAATATACACCCACCCATTTTATTCTTTTCCTTCTTTTTTTGGAGACGCAGTTTAGTTCTGTCACCAAGGCTGGAGTGAAGTGGCACAATCTTGGCTCACTGCAACCTCCACGTCCCGGGTTCAAGCAGTTCTCCTGTTTCAGCCTCTGAGTGGCTGGGACTACAGGCGCACACCACCACACCCAGCTAATTTTGGTATTTTAGGTAGAGATGGGGTTTCACCATATTCATCAGGCTGGCCTTGAACTCCTGACCTCAGGTGATTCACCAGCCTCGGCTTCCCAAAGTGCTGGGATTACAGGTGTGAGCCATTGCGCCTGGCCTCCATTTTATTCTTAATTCCTCACCACATGGGTCTAACTGTGGGG